TGGGGGGGGGGGGTATCCTATGCAACCTACGGTATTGCAGGTACATTCTGCGGGGCGCCACGCTTACAATGGTGTCCGTAAAGGCGGGGAGTGTCGCTCAGATGGCGCAAAAAGCGGGGACATCGTGTGTACATATTCAGGTTGTCGACTGGCAACGGGACATGTATCGTACTCACGAGCGACTCGTCACTGAAGACGACGGAGAGCTTTCCCTGCTGGGCCAACCGCTGCACCACCCGGCGGTACCGCGAGAAAGACGCGTCGTCGATGTAGATGCCGAAACCTGACAAAAACAACAAAACAGGGTGCCGTGCAAAAAAACAACACAATTGAATAAACAATTTAAATCGATGTAACAAATGGAGAAAATAGAGAAATACAGGGTGCCGAGAAAAAAAAACGGAAACAAATGAATAAACAATTAAAATCGATGTGACAAATGGAGAAAACAAACAAATAAGTGTCATACAGTAGGCCACGCTTCGAGTCTGGCTCCAGCAACATCACGGAGGGAAATCAGTTCGAGAGTTTGGGGGTGGAAACGATGGCAAGAACGAGTCATCTTCGCTACGCCTATATACATAAGCACACGAACATAGCAGGTAGGAGCAAGGTGCCTGCCTGAATCACCCACAGCGATAGCAAATTTTTCATCCGCAAGCTATCCATCCGCACGCGTCTGCCTGAATCAACCACGGCGATAGCAGAATTTTCATCAGCAGGCTATCCGCAAGCGCGACAACGATGACCATCAACAAAAAACGACGACGTCGACGCGCGACCTGTGGGAAGCATTGCAGGGCGACGCGGACAAACAACACCAACAACGCCAGGCTAAACCGAGGTTCGACAACAGCAACGACGCAACACGTACGACCCCCGACACGCACGTCGCCGTAAACCTGCACGCGCACGACCCAGATCACCACCACCACCACCCACCACCCACCACCCACCACCCACCTCGACGGAGCGCCCGAAGGAAAGGGTGCTGAGGGTTCTTGAGCTCCCCCTTCCCGTTGGGAGGAGCCAGGTCCTCGCAGATGTCCTCGAACTCCCTCGAAGACACGCGGGCGTTCGGCGGCGAGAGCACGAACTCGGGGTGAGGCGCGGTGACGTCGACGAAACCGCTCGTCTCGTCGTCCCCCTCCTTCTCCTCTTCCTCCGCCTGTCCGATTGGTTTTTCCGCCGCAAACATTAGTACAAAAAAATTAAGGTAACGTCGACGAAACCGCTAGTATCGTCGTCCCCCTCCTTCTCCTCTTCCTCCGCCTGTCGGATTTGTTGTTTTGTCCGCCACAAACTAGTACAAAAAAACTAAGGTAACGCCGACGAAACCGCTAGTCTCGTCGTCTCCCTCCTTCTCTTCTTCTGCCTGTCCGATGTGTTTCGTTTTCGTCGCCATTTACAACAAAAAAATTAAGCAAGGGGTTGTGTGTGGAGGATCACCAAAGTTGTGATTTCACGTAGCCCCCAGTTCTTTGTCGTCGGTGTTAGACTTCCAGCAACGAACTGCAGTTACTCGGGAAGTAGAGAGTCGAAAGCACGGTCATGGGCTCACACTTGAAAGGGTGTCAGCTACTCCGACGGTTTCGTGTTTTGGGAACAAACAAAAAAGGGAGCCACAACAAAATGCTCAAAGGACTACTCCGACGGTTTCGTGTTTTGGGAACACAAAAAAGTGAGCCGCAATATGCATAAAATGCTCAAAGGAGCTACTCCGACGGTTTCGTGTTGTGGAAAAAAAAAAAGAAAGCGAGCCGCAATAAAATGCTCGAGATAAACGTTTTCATCAACGCCATGGCAGAAAACCAAAGCCTGCGGTGGCCCCTGCGGGGGGAGAGGGCGGCCACCTCTACACCACCAACTAGAAAGCGCACTACACTCGGGGTTTAAGTTTCCTCGCCACACCACCCACAAACGATCTGGCCAACGCGCTCTGGCGCGCTTCGTAGACAACAAGATACACCGTGGTAATTGAAAGGTGTATGTCGCGTGTGTTGTCTCTCGTTACGCGTTCACTCGCAATGTTTGGGTCAACCAGCATGCATGCATCGTGAGTTTCTTCCTTTTCGTTTCTTGAAGCCTGTTCGCCTTTGGCCCGTGAAGGGCAAAATCACGTCCATGTACAAACAACGCGCTCGTTTCTCTTGGGGATAGCTGTGCTCGTGCCCTACATACGCAAATGTAGTTTCTCATCCACTACAGTACTGCCCTCCTGGCCCAACCTGCGCGGCCCAACCTCTACCGGGCCCGCAATTTCCTCACACAAATGACTGCAGATTGGAGCTCCTACCGTGTTTGGAGGTCATACCCTGCACAAACACGGTAAGCGCTGACTCAAAGCGATTAACTCACGAAAACAAAAAATTGATGCACAGGTGCAACTTCTTCTTGGCACCGACAACGACCGCCTGTGTTCCATGTATACGTCAACACCTTCTCCTTGCACCGACAACGACCACCCGCTTTCTTGAGAGCGCCACACGAAACCCCGCTTCGGACGTGCGCGCTTCTCTCACCTCCTTCTTGTTGCGGTCCATCTTCTTCTCCCTGATGGCTCGGACTCGAGCAAGTTCCGCCGCCTTCTTTCTCTGCTCCTCCGCCCAGTTGGGGTACTTGTTGCGCTGCTGGACCTCCACGTCCTGATTTTTTTTTTTTTTTCCAAACGGGCAGCAAACAAAATAAACTCATCAAAAATCAGCGCGGTAGGCCGGCCTTGTTACTGCAACTGCTGTCCATGTGCCATGTGACGGTGACGTCGAACGCCCGGGAAACTCGCTGAAACGGTGGCGGCGAGAGAAACAACGCTGGACCTGGTCTGTATTGCCTGTACGAACGAACAACGTATATGAAACCGCCGCCTGGGGGAGCCACGAAAAAAAAAAAAAGAGTCCCGAGGGCTACAGACTTTCTAGAAAGTTTGGACCCACTCGACTTTTTTCTATCCACTGCTGTCAAGACTTCAAGACGGCCCGTCGACTGCTGTGGTTTCATCTCAAACGGGTGTCGCCTCTCTGTGTTTGTATGCATATACTCTGATCCGATCACAGAAAGACTACTCGTTCGAGATGTTAAAGTCTTCGCGGTCAGTGGGCGAAAAAAAAAGCTCGATTATTGTTTTGGGCTAAAAGGATAGTCTTATCTATGTACCTCACCTTAAGGAGCTCCTTGAAGAGGCTTAGGGCCATGAAGGTGTCCAGGTGGAAGGCGATCACCGGACACAGCCCCTTATCCTTCATGTCGATCACGGCGTCGTAGATGGACACGTCCGGACCCACCTATTATATAGCGGCGGTCAACCGACAAGAAAATACGAAAAACGGGGGGGGGGGGGGGGGGGGGGGGG